TGACAAGTGACACTCAAAAGTAGTTTGAAATGTTCATTGATAAAGGGCGAATCCCCACGGGCGTAATTAGCGCAATCGGCATGAACGTCAATTCTACGTCAATTTTGGCGTAACATCCCGCATGTAGTGCATCAAAACCAAAACAATAGTATATTGTTGTATTAGGAGTAGAAGCTTTACTTTTTTGTGCTGAAGCAGTAGGTTTGCGAGCCGAACGTAGTGAGGCTTGCAATACTGCTGAAGCACAAAAAAGTGCTTCTGCAACGTGACAACACAAGCTCGACAGTTTCCACATTCCTCCTCTGCGCCTGCTTACTCTGAAAAATTCTCTTTCCGAGGTGGAACTTTTGGAGTGAGCTCCATTCACTCCACTCCATATAGTGGAACGCTAATGGAGTCACCCCTAATACGCCACAAAGCAATACCTGAACGGGAGTGCGAATGAAGTCACTCGGAGTGAGCAAGCCGAGCCCACCATATATCAAAAGAAACGAAACCAAACGTCACAACTTCGCCACGATTACGCCGAAAAGTTCAACAAAACCCAACTTTTTGCCGTAGTGACAGCGTAATGTCAAAAATTCAAGATGGCTGCACTGCCGCCAATGAAATCGTACAAATTAAATCACGTGATTAGTTACGCTTACGTCAATTACGCCCGTGAGGTCTCGCCCAAATACGTTGCACAACACGCGGTTTTTCTTCTTCTCTTTTTATCCCGTGCAAATAAGGAGGACGGATTGCCATACATAAGTTTAACAAAATTTGGTACATTTTGCCTCGTCTTGCGCAATGAGCGTTCTGTGTTTTTTTTTTATCTAATGAAGTTTTCGTATTATTACCTCTTTGTTTGGTAAAATAGATAGGTCTACTGTCACGTGACATTCTGATAAATTATAAGAAAAAAAATAGGCATTGACAACATTGTCTCTTTTTGTTCTATGACGTCATCCTAAATATAACGTCAAAAACCTATACTCATTAATACTTTAATAATATGCTTTAGCCTGCAATACCAATTTCACCTTCTGCTTAAATTTCTTAGTATTCTCCTTGGTATTCTCTATACTTCTATATGACAATGTAATGGTTGATGATGGATGACTATACAGGGTGAGTTACTAAGCGCGCGGTGGTCCATATCTCCTATACTCACGAAGATCGAAGAAAAAACTAAACACAAAACTTGTAGATAAACATGAGTACTACATTCCTAAATTAGTTTCCAGTATACAGGGGGCCCAATAACTAGCAGTGACACAAAGTTATGTTTTTTTTTCAATGACTCCCCCTGTATATTATGACATTTCTGGATTCTGCGGGAAATTCTAGACCTATTTCATGCACAATGTCATATACCTATCTTCATTTGTTTCGCAAATATTGACAGTTGGAAATTGACTTTTTTGCAACTTTGACAGACTGTGAAACATAAACCGTTAATTTTAGAGGAAAACGGATTTTACATTCCTAGATTTTCATAAGCTATAATTTGACACCAATTTAACCAAAGATTAATAATTTGGGCGTAATTTTGACTCATGGATTAAATTCAAGATTGGTGTCAAATGATAGTTTATGAAAAACTAAGATAGGAATGTAAAATCCGTTTTCTTTTGAAATTAACCGTTCAGGTTTTACAGTCTGTCAAACATGCAAAAAAGTCAGTTTTCAACTGTCAATATTTCCGAAACAGTTGAAGATAAGTATATGACGTTGTACATGAAATATGTCTAGAATTATTGGCACAATCCAGAAATGTCATAATATACAGGGGGAGTAATTTAAAAAAAAAACATAACTTTGTGTCACTACTAGTTATTGGGCCACCCTGTATACTGGAAAATAATTTAGGAATGTAGTACTCATGTTTATCTACAACTTTGTATTTAGTTTTTTCTCCGGTCTCCGTTAGTATAAGAGATATGGAACACCGCGCGCTTAGTAACTCACCCTGTATATTCTGCGGTATTGGTATTTTTATAAAACCTTCATTTCGACTAATTTGATAACACAAATAAGGTGAAATTTTATGCATTTTGTGTATCATTGTCACCATTTCCAATATAAAAATGCAGAAGAAAGTCAATAATTTTTCCTTTATAAAAAGAGGTCTGCAATGCTCTTGAGTTTTCGCTCCACACAAGTATCTTAGAGAACGTTTTTGTAATACAAAAACAAACTGGATATGACACTGAGCTCTAAATCCCCAAAAGGCAATACCCTCGGAAATCCCATACCTGATGTTAGACTCTATTAAGAAGTAGTACACAATTTTCGCCATGGAATGGAATGGCCCAAGTTGTTTGATACAATTCTCACTGTATAACATGCAGATGAACGTTTTTTATTCAACTGTAATATACATATACACTGTGTCCGTGAAGTAAAGGATAAATTCATTATTTTGAAAACGGTAGAATTTTTTAAAAATCGCTCAGACACGTCAATTTTGTTTTTTTGTTTGAAATTTTTCGATATATTTTTTATAATACTGGGTGTCTCAAAAATAACTCCGCTGCTATCAAGTTTGTTTTTTCAAATGGATCGCCCTGTATATTATGACATTTATGGATTTTGCGGGAAATTTGTGACATTTTTCATGTAGGGTGGTCCAAATTGGACACTTTCTTATGGAAACACCCTTTATTTTTAGAGATAGAAAAAAATGGACCCCCCACTCTGAGGCTCAAATTACATGAAATCTTGATTGGTGCAAACCGCATTTTGATATCTTCAACCGTTTAGCCGCTAGAGGGCGATTCTCGATTTTGAGCAATACTGTAAAGCCTCCATAACTTTTTTGTTTATGAAAATAATTAATTTCCGTAAAGACCTTTTGGAAGCACTTTTTCAAGCAGAATTCAGTGACGTTCTTAGTTTTTTTCTGTCTGGCTTTGATTTCGAGATATTGACCAAAATTCGATTTTTTTCAATAGGACACCCTATATATTAATAGTTCATTAGAAAGCTATGCTTTCGCTGATTTCAATGATATAAAGTTCCACAGGTTTAGCTCTAACAGTTTTCGAGAAAAAAAATTATTTCGGTTTTTGTCATAAGAAACAATGTGTTAGAAAGAGACCTTTCTCAGTTTCCTTACAGAGATAAAGTTCTTTTCCAACACATTGTTTCTTATGACAAAAACAGGAATAATTTTTTTTCTCGAAAACTGTTAGAGATAAACTTATCGAACTTTATCATTGAAATCAGCGAAAGCATAGCTTTCTAATGAACTATTAATATATAGGGTGTCCTATTGGAAAAAATCGGATTTTGGTCAATATCTCGAAATCCAAGTCAGACAGAAAAAAACTGAGAACGTCACTGAATTCTGCTGAAAAAAGTGCTTCCAAAAGGTCTTTACGGAAATAAATTATTTTCATAAACAAAAAAGTTATGGAGGCTTTACAGTATTGCTCAAAATCGAGAATCGCCCTCTAGCGGCTAAACGGTTGAAGATATCAAAATGCGGTTTGCACCAATCAAGATTTCATGAAATTTGAGCCTCAGAGTGGGGGGTCCATTTTTTTCTATCTCTAAAAACAAAGGGTGTTTCCATAAGAAAGTGTCCAATTTGGCCCACCCTGTACAATGTCATCATCATCTTCAACTGTTTTGGAAATATTGACAGTTGAAAATTGATTTTTTTGCAATTTTGTCAGGCTGTAAAACCTGAACGGATAATTTTAGAGGAAAACCGATTTTACATTCCTATCTTAGAATTTCATAAACTATCATTTGACACCAACTTTGAATTTACCCGGAGATTAGATTTAACCAAAATTTTTAATCACGGAATAACTTCAAAGTTGATGTCAAATGATAGTTTATGAAAATCTAAGATAGGAATGTAAAATCGGGTTTCCTCTAAAATTATCCGTTCAGGTTTTACAGCCTGTCAAAGTTGCAAAAAAATCAATTTTCAACTGTCAATATTTCCGAAACAGTTGAAGATAGGTGTTTGTACATAAAATATGTTAAAAAAATTCCGCAGAATCCAGAAATGTCATAATATACAGGGTGATCCATTTGAAAAAACAAAGTGGATAGCAGCGGAGCTATTTTTGAGACACCCTGTATAATGAAAAATATATCAAAAAATTTCAAACAGAAAAACAAAATTGACGTGTCTGAGCGATTTTTCAAAAATTCTACTGTTTTCAAAATAATGAATTTATCCGTTACTTTACGGACATACTGTATGTTATGTTCTGAATAATTCTGGTTCATACAACTGATTTGCAATAATAAAGCAATGAAATTTAAATACGGTGGAACTCCCCTTTGAACGCCATTACAGTGGTTGGAATTTCTGAAAACTCAATAATTCAATAATGAAACAAAGTTCACTTATTATTGAAAGCTTCGTATATTGGCCTTTACATTTATTGATCCACCTTTCGGAATACAATAACCTTTCTCAGGATAATAAAATATGAATATTTAAATACTATTAGCTTTGAAGTATTCATTGTAACTATAAATAGCTAGGTATTTTCCGTTTTTTTTTTTTTTATAGATTAGGCGAATGATTTCAAAAATTAAAAAGTAAGGAATCTTATACATAGGTATCTGAATTATTTGATATAAGGAGTTTGGCGATTCGGAGAAATTTATGAATCACCTTCAGTATCTAGAGTGAGCGAGTGAATTACTCTAGAATTACAACAAATTGATTTTGAGGCTAGGAAAACATGCCTTCTGAAGCTGAAGGTGGCGAAAAATCTTGTTTTGAATGTAAAAATAGTATTAGAAAGGAGGAATCCATCTATAGTTGCAAGCCTTTATTTTTAAACCAAAAAATCCTAACTCTACGACAAAAAAGTGTATTTTTGATCCATCTGTAAGACCAAAAAACTTCTTATGCTGCTGGTTTGAAAAACTTTGTACAGTAGTATCTCAGAATACTTCTGGTGGTGCTCTGATATTACTGGACCCACTTATACACAAATATGTACCACCTTAAGCACTTAATTCATGATAACTGAATTTTTCAGCCTCAAATTACCTACCCCAGAGGACGGTGAAATCCTGCTCGACTACTCGAAAAATCGCATCGACAGTGAAGGCCTCAATTTACTCTTCGAACTTGCCAAACAACGAAATGTCGAACAAGCCAGAGACGAAATGTTTAATGGCAAAAAAATCAACTTCACTGAAGGCAGAGCCGTCTTGCATATTGCCCTGAGAAATAGATCCAACAGGGCCATTTTGGTTGACGGCAAAGATGTTACGCCCGATGTTAATGCTGTTTTGGAACACATGAAACAGTTTACTAATTTGATATTGAGTGGACAATGGAGAGGGTAAGGACTCATTCTAGAAGACTTTTGAAAAATCACAAATATAATTCACTCTTTTCTTATTTCTGCTTGAGCTTGAATCAAAAATAATAAAAAAACTTGATTCTCTTATCATTTGATGTTTTTTTCATTTCATATTCACTTCTCAAGAATATTTCTTTACTCATTAAAATATAATTGACGATAATTGTTAATGGAATCTCTCACGCTTGACCTGCCTTTAACGAGGTTAAACAAATTTCAAAATGACAAAAATATTGTGTGTTTGTGAGGATTGGTTAAATATCAATATTAAATCAAGTAGTGTTGAAATTTTGTAGCTGATACAGGTATACTCTAACCAGTTTTAAATGGCCTGAGATTTTGCAATAAGATTTAGTCAAAATTCAATTTTTTTAACATCACTTCTAGATATTCTGGTAAACAAATTACCGATGTCGTCAACATTGGTATCGGAGGCTCAGATCTCGGTCCTCTGATGGTAACCGAAGCCCTAAAACCCTACAACAAAGGCTTACGAGTCCATTTTGTCTCGAACATCGACGGAACTCATTTGGCAGAAACTCTGAGAAAAGTCGATCCAGAAACTGTATTATTTATTATTGCTTCAAAAACATTCACTACTCAGGAGACTATCACTAATGCCACTTCAGCTAAAGAATGGTTCCTGGGACATGCCAAAGATGTCAGTAATTGATAATTTTTTTGTGTTTTGTTTTGAAAATTGGATTTTTAGGCTTCAGCAGTTGCCAAACACTTTGTCGCTCTCAGCACCAACGAGCCAAAAGTCAAAGATTTTGGTATTGACCCCGCCAACATGTTTGGTTTCTGGGACTGGGTTGGAGGGAGGTATTCCTTATGGTCAGCCATTGGTCTATCTATTTGTTTGGCCGTTGGTTATGATAATTTCCAACAATTGTTGGAGGGAGCTCATCATTTGGACAAGCATTTCCAGACTGCGCCACTGGAACAAAATGTAAGCCAGAATTTTTTTTATTTGTTAAAAGTATTAAATGTATAAATTTTTTTAGGCTCCAGTAATTTTAGCCTTGCTCGGAATCTGGTACGACAACTTCTTTGGAGCTGAAACTCATGCCCTTTTACCATACGACCAATACCTACACCGATTTGCTGCGTATTTCCAGCAAGGCGATATGGAAAGTAATGGAAAATATGTTACTAAAAGTGGCAAACCAGTAAGTCAGCTGAATGAGGTCCTCAAATATGGGAGTGAAATTTTGAATTTTTTGTAGGTTGAATACAACACTGGTCCAATTGTCTGGGGCGAACCTGGTACCAATGGCCAACACGCTTTCTACCAACTAATTCATCAGGGTACTCGAATTATTCCAGCTGATTTCATTGCTCCAGCACAGAGTCATAATCCCATAGGGTAATAAATTTTTAAGTTTTTTCTATTCATCGTATTAGTTTATAAACATTTTCTATAGGTAAAGGGTTATTATTGGTTATAAATGTCACCCCCCTCTATCGTTTTTATTTCACATTTAAGAAAGAAGTGTCCCGAATAAAAGTTTTATGGTTGAAATAAATTTTTTTGAAAAACTCATTTTCGCATATACAGGGTGTTTCAAATTTCTCATTTCTAATGGAATACCCTGTATAATATTGAATATTATTCGAATTCCACGTATAATTCTCAGCAGATTTTATGTGATTCACTCTATACCTGAGTTCAATTGTTTTGGAAATATTGACAGTTGGAAATTGACTTTTTGCAACTTTGACAGGCTGTGAAACCTAAACGGTTAACTTTTGAGCAAAACCGATTTACGTTTTTTTCTTAGATTTTCATAAGCTATCATTTGACACTTACTTTGAATTTACCCGCAGATTAAAGGACCTCGCACACCTTATATGGGATTTCGACGATCAGTCGATTTTTTCCAAATTTTGATATGTTGTAGAGGATTTAATTCTTAACAACCTTTAAATGGGACGAAATCTTGTAGGTGTTACGGTCTTTGAGATATGAGCGTTGAAAGATGCACTTTTTCGCGACTTTTTTTGTGGAAAGTATGCCAAATACTGGTGTTTATCAGTCAAAATATTGACAGGTTCACATATTCTACGTCAGTTACAAATGTCAACATAGGCCAGGACCACACTGGCACCAACATTGGCCCCAGTGCGGTCCCGGCCTTAGCCTATGTTGACATTAATTTGTTAGTGACGTAAAATATGTGAAACTGTCAATATTTTGACTGAGAAACACCAGTAGCACCAGTATTTCGTATACTCTCCACACAAAAAGTCGTAAAAAAGTTCATCTTTCAGCGCTCATATAAGATTTTTACGCTATATTTAGGATGACGTCACATTTAGTAAATTTCCGCTACCAACCTAACAAAATTAAAAGTACTTTTCAATACATTTAAAGTAGGGGAAGTTCAGATGTTTTTGGTTGGCAACGGCGCGCGACGTTGCATGACTTGCATAAACATTTTCATTTCGTTATTTTTAGCTGTCGTCAGAATTATTGACACATGACATTCTGGTAAATCATAAGAAAAAAAATAGGCATTGACAACATTGTCTGTCCTTGTTCGATGACATCATCCTAAATATAACGTAAAAAACCTATATCTCAAAATTGTCTCGTCCGTAATACCTGCAAGATTTGTAAGATCGGGTTTGCTCTAAAATTACCCGTTCAGGTTTTACAGCCTGTCAAAATTGCAGAAAAGTCGATTTTCACCTGTCAATATTTACAAAACAGTTGAACTTACCTATAGGGCATATACCTATTATACTGACGTATATCGCGCCTTTCCTATTTACCTATTGTGCGGATTTTAAAGCAAAGAAAGAGAAATAGACATATATGATCTCGCATAAGTCGATCTCTGTCAAACGAAGTAGAACTAGGTCATCAACTGCGCATGCGTTAAATGCTAAATTCTTTATTGGCCGGCGGTTGGCATTCTGTAACATGCTTCTTGTGCGGTGTTGTCATATCAAGTTGAGGATATTATGTGTCATTTTGACTTTTTGTTTTTTTTTAATGGCTTCTTTAATTATTTTTCTATGACTTTTGTGATTCTAGTGTGAACTTACCCTTAAGCAGACAAATAATAACTACAGATCGTTTCACGAGGGTTCATACTTCTGATATCGAACACGTCAAAATTAAAAAAAAAAAGGTTGTAGATTAATTCATATGACACATTCAATTTTTTTTGACAAATTAAAATGAATGACTTCTGGTTTAAGAACCGACGAACGTTTTTGACGTCATTGATTTGTTTCAGTCAATTTCTATTTGTTAAAAAAGGAAGGCAAAAAGTATGAACTCTTGTGAAACAAAGCAATGCATTTTTGCCTTTGATTTTTGACAGTGATATTTGTTCAGTTCAAACACAAGCAAATTACTTCTTATTTTGAGTTTAGCAAATTACGTAGTCTATACGCTTATTAGCAACCCTGCAATAGCAACTGCAAATTGATGCTTATTGGTGGAATTGACGCATGTGCACTAAAAAACAAAATTCTCCCTAGACAAAGATGGCATACTTTCATCTCACATTGTATGCTTCACCAGCTCGAAACAACCCGCGATCTACGTCAGTATAATAGATATATGGTATAAGGTATATTACATAAAAACTGCTCAGAATGTTACGTAGTATCCAAATATTCAATAATATACAGAGTATTCTATTTAAAATAAGTAAGTTGGACTACGACCAGCTTTTCTGAAACACCCTGTATATGCAAAAGTGAGTTTTTTGAAAAAAATAATTTCAACCATAACTTTCATTTGAGACACTTTTTTCTAAACTGTCAGATAAAAAAGCTAGCGGGGGGTGACATTTATAATCAATAACCCTGTACCTACCTACAGGGTTGTCGTTACGTTGTATAGGGTGGGCTCAAAAAAACTGGAATTTTGTTTTTGAGCTGTAACTTTTTTTGCTGTTGACCAATTTTCTTTTGTTTTGGCTTGGTTGGAAAAGAACAGGCTAACGAATCAGAGTGAAACTTTTGAAATTTGAGGAAAATTCAAAATGGCGGATTTCTTCAAAAATTGCCTAGTTTTTGATATGAAAAGGCGATTTTCAATATTACAAAAATTTCAATATTCCACTTAGTTTTCAACTGATTTTTCCTGTCGAGGTCTTAAAATGTTCGCAAAAGGATGAACTTTAAGAATTTATCAGAAAAAGTTATATAAACGGTCACAAAAAAGTTCCAGCACTATCCAAAGTTAAGTGATTTATGAAGAAGTCCGTCGTTTTACATTTTTCTCAAATGTCAAAAGTTTTACTTTGATTCGTTAGCCTGTTTAATTCCCTTCCAAACAAGCCAAAACAAAAGGAAATTGCTCAACAACAAAGAAAGTTACAGCTCAAAAACAAAATTCCGGTTTTTTTAAGCTCACCCTATATATACTTGCTCTACCTGCTCGAAAAATCAGAAAGATCTGTTAGGAGCTGCTATTTATGAGTTTATATATGGGTCAAGTGAATGCCGATCTGCTGCTGAGATCTGCTTGAAGCAAGAAAAGCAGTATAAATGAACACCCTAATGGCTTTTTTGAATGCCTGATTCAATAGTGGGTGGTATTTGCAATGTTACAATATTATCATTATTACCGATAACGTTAACAATAATGAGCACAAGCGAAGAATCTTGACCACTTAAAAGATGATACTTGATAAAGCATAATCTCAAACCCATGAATGGGGAATGCGTCCTAGATATAGGTGGTAGTGGTGGTACCAAGGAAATCAAATGCCCGGGGCGGACCAAGCTTGGCACGTCAGCGTCTGTCTTTAATCTCAGGATCAGTTGGCATCTACATTTCCTAATCAATCTAGTTATCGTGAGAGATTGAGGCTAATATTCCTTGCATGATAGAAAACTGTCAACGGAGGCCCCTCAGTCGCCACAGACTGGACATAAGCCACCAGAAGGCTTCGAAGTACCGAGCTCTATGCTCATCACTCAACACAACACTTCCTATTGTATTTTTCTTTCTCAAGATGGTATGTCATGCTTTGAATGTAAGCAGAGTGGGCAAATTGCCTCCCAATGCCCCAATCAAAGTTACCAAGACCAAGATAACACCGAACCATTGCCAGATAAACTATTAACCACATCAACAAATACAGAAAATGCCTTTTCCGATGTTCAGCATACCAAAAGAAATATTACAGAATTTTTTTTGGTTGTTGTTGAAAAAATTTAAAATGGTTTCGTTTATGTTTGCATGCGGGAATTGGTAAATTTTTTTACAAATTTTTAATAATTGAAGGAAAAATCTGCAATCCATGACCAAGTTTGTGCAAGAAAATATAAATACATTTGAAGTCTGGTCACGAAATATTGGCTTTACATTTTCCACCGATAAAACATCTATGATCTTCTCAAAAAAAGTGAACAAACAATACCAAAAATTACACTGTACAACATAAATTTAGAGTTTATCAAAACCATCAGATTTCTCGGACTAATCTTTGACGAAAAATTATCTTGGGTGCCACACATAAAAAAACTAATTCTAGTATGCCAAAAAGGAATAAATCTTTCAATGATTTAAGCTCATAAATCCTAGGGTGCCAACTTCTTATCTCTACTAAGAATCTACAGAGCCATTATTATTAGATCAAAAATTGACTATGGCTGGATAGTATACAACTCAGCCTTAAAAACTACACTAACACTACTTGACAAAGTCCACAACACAGCATTATGCATTGCTCTTGGAGCATTTTGCACAAGTCCCATAGAAAGCCTACTATGCGAAACTAGCGAAGCACCATTAAGTCATAGAAGGAAAATGGTATCTATCGCATATGCCACTAGGAGGTCACTTTCCACCCAACACCCGTCATACAACAATATGTTCTCTAACAGATATAAAGAAAAATTCTGAAATGGGAAACGGATAAAACCAGCGTTTCACGAGAGACTTAACAGATATTGTGAAGATCTACATATACAATTCTCAGAATTCTTGATCACTTATAAAACCTTAGTCACACCCTGGTTAATGAACAGACCTCTAGTCAATGCTAGCTTAACTTAGTACCACAAACAAAACATAAATATACACATTATTCATTCAGAATTCAAATAAATCTTAGATCAACTCCCGGTAGACACAATTAGTTTCTACACAGATGCGTCCAAAACAGACGAGGGAACGGGCGCAATTAGTATCAAACATTGTCGTGCAAAAGTACAAACTCCCCAATATACACAGGGGAACTTTTCATCATATCTAATCTAATAAAGCACTAGAAAACATAGAAAATAACAACATCCAAAACAGCATGATAATAAGCGACTCCCTATACTCAATAGGCAGAATATATCCAAAGCATCAGATAGAATACGAAATAAAAAAGGAATTAATAGATAAACAAAAAGACCAGATATCTGTGTTTTTCATCTTTACCCACGCCTATACCGGAATGTGGCAACGACTCGGCAGACGCTGCAGCTAAAGAAGTCGTAACTGATGGCGCATCGACCTTTCGGTCAGGAAACACAATAGTTGACTTTAAATGCTGCACAAAAACTCTAGTGCCGCGACTCGTAGCAACTAGAATGGAACAGCTAAAACTCAAAACTATACGAAGTGAAACCTATTATAAAACCTGACAAGCCATTAACTCTATGCCGATCGTTTTAAACAATAATAACGCGACTGAAAATCGGACACACTAAACTCACACATGGACACTTACTACAAGGAATGGATCCCCCAGTTTGTGAGACATGCAATGAAATAATCACAGTGAAACATCTACTAATCACATGCCCCAAATATGCTTGGCAAAGGAAAGCGTCTCAAATTGGGCCATTCCATGCAAGACATCTTTAACAGCCACATAGATTTTCTAGAAAACTGTGATTATACCCCAAAATATAATGTGTATTTTAAAATTATTGTACCATGTGCTATACCATGTGCTAATAACCCCAGTGGTTGATGCACAATAAATCTTGAATATAAAAAAAAAACAATTCGACTTAGAGTTTTGGCATTTTTTAGTAATGTTGAGACGCTGAATTATTTACAATAAAAATAAAGAGGTGCAAACATTCATTTAAAAAAATTAAGTTACATATGGTATCTTAGAAACGGTAAACTTAGCAACATTGCAAATACCACCATTGAATCGGGCATTTCCAAAAACCCACAGGTAGGAAATATTGTATATCTTATTCACAATCTGTAGGCCAAAGGTACAAGTAAATTTATCACTTTTTCCTATAAAATAGCATTGGAAGGTGATATATTTTACCTGTACCTTTGGACTACAGATTGTGAATAGACAATACATTTTTCTTAAGTGCGTTCTGAAATATCAGGCTGCTTCCATATATAACGACAACCCTGTATAAGTAATGTATGCTTCAAAATTATTAACATTTTCGGCTTTACTGCTCCCAGAGCGCTCCCTGTCTGGGCAGTGACGTCACAGATCTCAGCGTGACAACATTCGAAATCACTAGCCGAACGTACTTGATTGCTTTAATCAAATTCTTTGATCCATTTAATTTGACGGAGCAAGAAAAAGCGCTACGTGCGAGATTTGAGAGCGTTCTATTGCTCAAGTCGAACATATAAATCTCGCAACGTTCCGTTTTAAGCCGAACATGTGAATCCCTTTTTGGATGCAGTTTTGAGGCCAAAGTCGAAAGAGCTATTAGTGTTTTTCTAGTGATCATCATTTATTTGAACAAAATAACTCTAAAATTTAGGACAATCATACAGTCATGAAATCAAAATTGCATGAATATTAAATTTTTCTCTCTTATTTCAGTAACAGTCTGCACCACAAAATTCTGTTATCCAATTTCCTGGCTCAAACTGAAGCTTTGGCTTTCGGAAAGACATCAGAACAAGCCAGGGCAGAACTGGAAAAATCTGGACTGCAAGGGGAAGCCTTGGAGACAATTTTACCGCACAAGGTATTCCAAGGAAACCGACCCACAAACAGTATAGTTGTTAAGAAGTTGACACCGTTCACTTTGGGAGTACTCATCGGTAAATATTAGATATTTCACATTAGTCTTGAACAAAAAATTCTTTTTCCCTATTTCCAGCTTTGTATGAACACAAAATCTTCACCCAAGGCATCATCTGGGACATCAATTCCTTCGACCAATGGGGAGTAGAGCTTGGCAAGCAGTTAGCCAAAGCTATCGAACCTGAACTCCAAGATAATACACCAGTGTCATCACATGATTCCTCCACTAATGGACTCATCAACTTTATTAAAGCCAACCGTTAGAAAAAAAAAATGTTCGGTGTAAGGGTGCGATTGCCAACATTTTCCCTATTAGAAATTTCCCTTACTATATTAGACTGTCAGGTTTGGTGTTTAATATGGACGCACCCCAAGATCTTTACTTATGGCATAATAAGTGAGGACTATAATCACCCGTTAGAAAACCCAAATTAAAAAATACATGGTATGGCATTGGTAGAGGCACAGCAAAATGAGCTATAAATGTGGTTATTTTACTTTTCAAAAATAGATGATTGTGAACGTAATTTATTATTAATTATTTTGTTTATGTTATATATTTTATTTTTGTCCTTTTGAATTTATTAAATGCTACTGTTTTCAAAAAGGATGAATTTTTAATTGGGGACTTCTTAATGGAAACTGGTTGATAAATATTGTAAACAATTTATTTTATAACTACAACCTGATAACTTGATATTTTGAAAAAAATTAACAAAACAATATTTATTGATATTAACTTCATGTTTTGAAGCAACATACAGGATGCACCATTTAAAGGCAATATTCAGTAGGTATTTATCCAAAAAATAATAATATATTCGATGTATTGCTGCAAAAGAAAACAAGTTGAAAGAGCAAAACATTTGCAGTCTTTTTAATTGGAAAACCCTGTATATAAATTAACACCAACAACAAACCATAACAACCAGGCTATTGAACATTGATTAAACAATTTGTGTAAGTCAATTTACACTTTAATCCATTGTAGGTAACAAATAAGTACATCTATATAGTCTTATAAACTACCAACTTCTTAGTCTTGAAAAAAATTACAAATTTTAGTTGAGTTGGTCAGTATTGGAAATAATATAATTTTGTTTAAGTGAACAATAATTGGAATTGGTGTTTAAGCTCCAATCCGATTGCTTCGTTTCTTCAAGACTAAGAAGATTTATTTCAGATAACATAGGAAAATAAAGTAGTAAATATTTTAAATAAAAACAGTATAAGAAAGTTCTAGAAGACCTAGAGTTACATACTAAAGAAAAATCAGTCAAGAAGTTAGGCCTAAAATTTTAAACAAAATAACACAGAATACTTTGGTTATTTACGTATTAAGTGTTAAAACTTTTGATGTTTTGGAGGCTTTGGCAAAAAAGTCTGTTATTTGCCATAGCGTCTTAAAACATTAAACTGAACAATTGTAATATGAAAACCTTGCTATATAAATACGAATATAAATGCCGCATATAAAGACAAATTTGGTCACTTTAAAAAGTTTGTTTTTTATAAAACGTATCACAAAAAAACATGTAATTTCGATCCATTTTCTTTCCATACACTAGATTTATAAAGACAGTCTTTTACAGTTTAGGTTTAGAAATATCGCTTTTTTTTTTGTTCGTTGAATATTTTTGCAATAATCTAGTGGGCGATAAATAGAATTGTTGATTTGGCACTTAAAAAAATTTGCAAATTTGATAATATGGATTCTTACTTGTATTATGCGGAAACTCAAAGACCCACCTATATTATTGTAAAAATATTCCAGATAATTTCAGAGAAAGTCTATAGAAATAATCAGACCGCCACCAACGTTAAAGAACCGAACTGATATCCTCTGGCTCTTTGTCTCGTTCCTTTTCTTTTTTATCATCTTTTTCTTTCTTTTTTGATTTTTTTCTTCGTTTAGAGTCTCGCGTTTTCGGTGATCTTTCCAATAGAAACAGGGCCTCGTGAAAATCATCTGAACTCAAGTTGGATTCTTGAACGTGAAGAACTGAACTGAGTGCACCATCCGTTGAAGATTTCGGAAACCTGCAACAATAACAACTATGTAATTTTCGTACAAATTATACACCCTGTATATACACACGAGCTCAAGCTCAGCCGTTTGTCCTGATTGAGTTACTTCCGACTTGCTACATTATGTAGCGTCTACATTTTAATAGTCTACGAACTTTTTCTCTCATCTCGGTTTTCTCGCGAGTGAATATCGTGCGTGCACTGAGATATTTTGTTGGCTGAATTGAGTAGGTCATCTTGAAGAATTCAATAGAAGATCAGACGAATTTGTCAGGGCAGATTCAAGAGAACATTGACTTTAGCTCCTGAATTTTTGGACTTCAATCGCAGAATTTCTAACAGAGATTGTGTTGGTTTTACTGTAAGCACAGTTTATGTTACAGAGGGCAATATTGAGGTTATTACAGTTCGTCGAGTGTTTTTGATTATTCAGCTACCGATTCTGCAGAAAATATGGCAGTGCTAAAACCCGAATATTTGGGAATGATCCCAGAATTTAAGGGAGAAACAGGACTTCTTCCCAGATTTTCATCAATCTGTGAAAAAGTAGTCACTAAATTTTATCAAAAATTAAAGGCGAAGCCGCAATTGATATTTCATCTTCTTCAATTTGCAAATTTGACGATCTTAAAAATGCACTTCTTGCAGCCTATGTAAAGTCTAGGGTGCAACAAATTTTAAATTTGCAAGTTTCTTATGTAACCACCCATGCAAGCAATCTAAAAAGAAGTATCTTGTGTCAATATTGTCGAAATTTAGCGCTAAGAGGCGGACTTAAAGAGCCTATTGGATCCTTGATGAGAACTAAGAATCCTCAAGATCTAAATAGCGCATTGAACATGCTTACTAACGACTTTCAAATTGAAGCCGCTACCTCATATTCTAAACGAAATGCACAAACATACAACTATAGTAGACAGCTACAAAAACTCTCACAAACTCACCTGTCCCGATCCCAACTTCAACATAGTCCAGGTCCTGCAGATGCTAAAAATCTTCTACAATTTCGAAGAAAGAAAACTTTTCTAAATAAAACCAACCCCAATCTTTCAAAACCAATGTCCGGAGTTTCTAGCTTTGTGAACTAACCAATATATCCTAAACCAGTTCCTATGTCAGGAATATCAAATTACACTACAAGATCCCAAGTTCCCTACAAATCATATCCCAAATATAGTGCAGAAGAAATATTCAATTACCATAACTGAAACTGATTCTCCAGAAATCGATGATCAGCCTTACTCAGATGAATATTTAGACGAAAATGTCGTGTCTTCCCCTATCGTCGAATACCCTGAAGAACTTCAATATGAAGAAGGTCAAGTTTTTCGAATAATGGCCTCGGAAGATCATTATACACAAATTCGAATTAATGAACCTAACTAATGCTGATAGCAACCTACCATATATATTATACTTCCAGATCCTAATCTTAAAATCTTAGTTGACAGCGGATGTACGAAATCTTTAATCAATCCTAAAATTGCTGAAATTTGTGACCCTTTTCAAATTTTCACAGCTCGCGGCTCTTCAATTGAACAATTTAGCACAAAAATTTCATTCAAATTTATTTCGAATTAAAGCTGAGCCCTTCAAGTTTTATCTTTTTGATTTCCACAGTTATTTTGATTGACTTTTAGGCATTGATAATTTATTGCCCTTAGGGCCAGTTACACAAATAGTGGTAACCCAACGTTAACCACAAGACACTGGTAACTTACAATATATCTGTTTCATGATGTGTGATTTAGTCAAAACCCTCGGTCAAGCTTCACAATATTCCATGTAGTTAACCCGCAACTATGAGTTTGATAACCGGTGCACCAATTGCGAAACTGGGTCTTACAAGCCAACATAGACTTCAAAAATCAAAAACTAGCAACTCTTAATGCCGAAATTCCATTAAATTTTCGAACCACAAGAGGTTTCAGGATTACCGAATAATACTTTTAACTGTCACGAAACGCGTTACGGAGCAACACCACGACTCCGAAGGAGGAGTGGTGTTGCTGGTAACGCGTTAAGTTTCAGGTAAAAGTATTAGGTAATCCTGAAAAATCGAGTGGTATTCAAAAGGGTATACAACGAACTAAACTTTAATTCTTTGTTAATTAATAATTTCATGAATCAAAAATTTAATTTTTTTGTCAAAAAATGTCAAAACACCAGTTACCGTGCAAAAGGATTATCACTTGTTAAGCCTCTCGTGTCATATGGGAAGGATTATCACTTCTTAATCCTCTCGTGTCATATGGGAATAATGTACAGTGAGTTGTATAATCAAAGTAATACCCAAAATTCACCTAATATACTCACTATTGAACCCCAATGCGAGCAAGTTATTAAAATTAATGTGAAAAACATAAAAAACGGCGAAGTTATCATTCCTTACATTAAAATTGATGCAGGGCCGTAGCTAGAGTCAAATTTGTGATAGGGCATGAAAAATTTGACAGGGCATGCACTACTTCCCCCCCCCCCCCCCCCTTAAATTTTTTATAGCTAAACAAAATGGGGGTAATGCGCCGAAGGCAAATTTTTCAATAAATAACATCTCTGGCAAGTAAACAAAATGGCGCGTTCAGGCAATCATTTTTGAGGGACCTCTTGTACAGGGTGTTTCAAATTCGAGCCACATCATTGGGATCTCGGAAACGGTAAGATATACAGGGTTGGTTAAATTGGGGCAAAGTTGCGTAATTTGATGCTTAACAAAATGTCGCTTTGATATTTAGGATATTCCAAATACCTCCGGAGATATCCGAAGAAACCGAAATTTTGCAAAACTGTTTTTATTTGTTCCTGACTTTATTTGAAGTGATATTCCAAAAAAAAATATCACTTCATCATGGCCACTTTTTCTCTCCTACAAGATGCTACCATCAAATTTAAAATCTGACGTTTCGTCTTTGGGCCACCATCATCAACTCTATTTTTTTAAATACGACCCCGGATTTTTTATTTCATATTTTTAGTGCTTCTGATGTCCCAAAACCTATGACGTATCGCATTCATTTGAAAAAAAATGTTTTCTACTTTTTAGTAATTTCCTACCAAAATTCTCTCTAACACATTTGGTTCTTATGAAAAGTACCAATAATATAATTTTTTTGAATAAATGTAACACGTCATTCATTTTGGGACATCAGAAGCTTATGAAATCTAAAATAAAAAATATGGGTCCGTATTCAAAAAAAATGAAGTTGATGATGGTGGCCCAAAGACAAAACGTCAGATTTCAAATTTGATGGTAGCATCTTGTAGGGGAAAAAAGGTGGCGATGATGAAGTGACATTTATTTTGGAATATCACTTCAAATAAAGTCTGAGAAAAATAAAAACAATTTTGCAAAATTGCGGTTTTTTTCCGGATATCTCCGGAAGTATTCGGAATATCCTGATTATCAAAGCGGCATTTTGTTAAGCATCCAATTACGCAACTTTGCCCCAATTTAACCAACCCTGTATATCTTACCGTTCGCGAGATCCCAATGATGTGGCTCGAATCTGAAACACCCTGTACTTATACTACTTGTAAAATAGCTGTAATCCTACCAACTTACTCGATTTCAGGTCTATGTATTTGCTGTGGTCCAACCGACATGGGAACCGTTCCAGAACCAGTAATTCCAATTGCCCACCTAATGTTCAATAAGTTGAACGTTTATCCTACTTGACAAATGAATTGATCGACTGGAAATTACCGTTCTAGAACGGTTCTCATGTCGGTTGGAACAGAGCTTTCATCTACTCTTAAATTTCCTAGAGAAACCTCAATGCATGTTTTGTTTCAAAGGTAAGGCATCATCATTTGAAAGATAGGGCATTGCACCCCAATGCCCCCCCTGGCTACGGCCCTGAATTGATGGCTTGGAAATTCCAGAATGTCTTGCCACTGTAAACAATTATGAAGCCTATTGTGTAATATCAAATCACTCAAATGAAAAAAAAATAAATAAAAATACCTATATAGATTTTTCCCAACCACTTGATGCAACCAATTTTGATGAATATGACACGAAAACTTATTCCACACCAAAGGTATGCTTTCTCGTGTCTCAAAGTTTTGAAAAAATTTTCAAAGCTGGTTTAAAACAGTTTCACAATGACGTCATAACTTCTCGGCGCGAGAAAATGGTTTATGGCCGTTTCCACCAACTATTTTAGGGGAGCCTCAACGATAAGTATTCCTTAAACTGACATTTCTCCATGTAAAAATGTCATTTTAGGGAATACTTATCGTTAGGGCTCCCCTAAAATAGTTGGTGGAAACGGCCATTAAAAACGTGGATTCGATTGTATTTCGAAACAGTTTGAACCATTTTTGTGTGACGTCATGGGTTCATCGCGGGAATATACTACCTATTTCAAAAAGTAGACGCGAGAAAACAGCTCAAATCTTAATAATTTAGACTCCAAAAAGTTGGCACTCGATCTGTCAAAAATCAAAACCCAATTAATGAATTCAGAGGATAGAAGAGAAAGATTAAAATTATTAAAGGAATACTCTGATATTTTCCATATGGAAGGCAACGAGCTGACATTCACAAATAAAATAAAGCATTGAATAAAGAACTTCTGATGAAAACCCTGTTTACACAAAAAAGTATGGGTACCCGGAAATTCATCGAGAGGAAGGTTTCTTTAGGCAATCTCAATCACGTGATTTTATAATGGCCGTTCGGGTCAAATATTGCGGTGACAAGCCGGTGACGTTTGGCGTTCATAAGGAGAGCATTTGTGTTCTGGCCCTTGCTGCTTTCGAAGTGAATTTTATGTGTTTCTGCGCATTTTTCATTGGTTTTGGTCATTGTGAATTTTATAGTCTTTAGTATTTCTACGTATTTTTTTAGTGTTCTGGCCCTTGTTGTTTTCAAAGTGAATTTTATAGTGTTTATAGTGTTTCTACGTATTTTTTAATTTATTAATAAGTTCTGAGATGGAGAGTGAATATCTTAAGGTATTATTATTAAGGGAAAATCGAGCTTTTAATTGCAGCAATCCATAAAGCCC